TGGGTGTTTACTCACATCCTCAGTCCAGGTGGCCTCACCCCAGCCACTCATCTCTTATACCTAGACTTGGGCACCTTTCTCAAGGTGAAGAATATGGGATGAAGTAGAAATTGTCACATTTGCGCTGTTTCTTGAAGTGCTTTCTAATCTCATCATTCAGAAGTTCTGCGTTCTTGAACATCTGTTGTCCCCATGGTGAGGATACAATGAGGAGGAAGTTGGAAGGTCAAGGATGCCATCTCTAGAATAGCTGCTCCAACCTGAATATTTTATAGAATGTTTTAAAGAAATCCATCAAATTGGCATCATTCTAGTTTCAAAGACATTTGAAGAATTTAAGAAATGAAAGAATCTTAGAGAAAATGCAAGCAAATTGATACTATCCTAGACTTTCCAGTGTTTGGGGAGTAGTAAACCAGAACCTAAAGGATAAGACAGGTGGCCAGAAGAATAGCTAGAGAGGTTAGATGTAGGTCCAGAGTGGAGATGACTTGGAGGTGAATGTGAGGTTGAGCTGCCTGGCCTTGTGGTTCACTCTTTGGATGTGTGTGGTGGGTAGTAAAGAATAGGACGGGTCAAAGTTAATGCATAGATTTCTGGCTTAGGGAACTGGGACTTCTATTCTCTGGTGGAACAAGGTCCCAGGAGAAGCAAATGTGCAGACAGATCACAGATGTAGATTGAGACATGGTGAGTTTTAGGTGGCCATGGGGAATCAAGTCTGAGTCTGGAGGTGTCTGAGTCTGGAGGTGTTATGTCAGAGGTGCAGACTGCAGGTATGGATTTGGGAGTCATTGGCCAAAACATGAAACATGCAGACCTGGGTGCTCAGGCTTCTAGGGAATGAAAACAATGGAATCTTGAATGCATGATACAAAAAATGTAGAGAGAGTAAATAAAATCTGAAAATACAATAGATACTGTGAAAGGGAAAGAAACTGCTCAAAAGGAAAGAACAACTGCGATGAGAGAGAGGAGAAAAGAAGAAAGGAAAAAAAATATATATATATATATACACGATAGCTAAGATAATTATACTACTAATTTCTATTGGTTTTTTAAAAGGAATGATTAATTCTTAATTTTTTGATCAATTTTGCACACCTATATCTGGTAATCTGAAAAACTACTTTGAAGATAACAATATGCACTATAACAACCATTATTGCTTTCCTATCATCCCGTTTTGAAATTCTGTATTGTTTTTAACGTTTTTTTATTTTTTAGTCTTTTTAAAATAAAAAATGTAGTCAGAATTTATTATTCACATTAGAGATGCCTGTTTTATTGTTATGTTAAGGAGGTTTTAAGATATACAGTGTATTGACATTCACTGATTGCAAATTACAATAGTCATTTATTCATGGAGACTTTATCCTCTCGGGTGTTTTTAACTAGCCTAATGTTTTTAAGGCATTGATCACGTTTCCACTCTCTGGTTTTCCTTCAGAGTAACTACTCTGTCCTTGGAAGGTGTCAGGGTCTATAAGAGACCCAGGAAATAGTGCCCATGTCTTACATCCAGAGTGTTCTCTTAAGAGTTACAACTTGGCTGAAACAAAGAAACGGCCTATGCTAGATGTGCTTGTCCCATCTGGACGTGACTTGTTCATCTGGGCTGAGTCTATATCTTGACATTAGTCCCCTCTGTTATTCCCCAAATCAAATTCCCCCTGGTCTTCGTAGTATCTGTGGGATGTCAGGCATAGCTGCCTTGCTTATAGACCTTGATGCTCTTCAGATGACCTTGGTTGGCTGCTGCTCATCTCAGCTCCACTGCACAGAAGATGCAGTGACTGACTCTTCTCTGTCTCATTCCCAAGTGTGTGCTTTATGTCAGGGGTCTCCAAGTAGCCCACTCATCAAATCACCAGGGAAGCTTTGGCACACGTGGCTTCCAGAGCCTCCAGTGGGTAATGCAGCTCATCTAGGACTGTCCCTCCCCATTCTGGATCTTGGATATATTGGTGGAAAAATAACAATAATAAGGACTTCCAGGGGCTGGGGATTTAGCTCAGCGGCAAAAGC